GTAATATTTTTTAAATGGGTTGTCTTACGAGTTATAAGCTGAGTTGAGTCTAGCTCAAGCTTAGCTCATTTGCTATCAAGCTCGATTCACTCGTCATTCATTGAGCCAAGCTCAAACGGCTCACAAGTCAGCTTGACTCATTGACAACCCTAGTCCATACATTATAATATAAAAACATATATTTCAAAATCATCATATTTTTATTTACATTGAGATTAGTGCAAATATAATATATTTCTTCTTAGAACTTTTTGTAGTGCAGGTGATTTGCTCAACCAAACCATTAAAAATAGTCTTATTTTTTTAAGCCCCACTTGACTTGAATATTTTTTAGAAGTGTTGTGTCCCAAAATATACATGGCGGTTGAGAAATATATAATTTAATGTTTTAGCTTTGCATGAAGATCTAGCACGCATACAGATAAAAAGAGATGGTGCAGTATTTAAAGAGCCACCAAGAATTTTAAGTGGAAAATATTGAATAGGGGAAAAATAATGGGGTCTGGCCCAGTTTGAATGAGTTTGTCAGTATTTGTAGTTGATTACAAATGAGCAACTTCCTTGGAGAAGAAGGCATTGGCTTGATGTAACAAATATACATCATTTGGAGGGCATTACATGGTGAGAATAGGAAGAAACACAATTGACATGTTTGTTTGGTCAGAATGACCATAGTTAGTGGACAATGAAGATCGAAAAGATCGTAGTTGATTGACGATGGTTGAAAGGACCGTAGTCAGCGGGCGACAGAAGTCAACAAGACCACAATTTGGTTATGGAAGTCGGAAGGATCGTATTCGGCTGGCAACGGAGGTCAGAAGTCCAGAAATGGGTAGAAGTCATGCATCAGGTATAAATCTGACGGCCGAAATTCCTACATCGGGTAAAAATCCATTGATTGTGGAAGTTTGATGTCGGGTAGAAATTCGATGATTGGCAAAGGTCTGGCGTCGAGTAGAAGTCCGACGAACATTCTGCAATGAACTGAAATCTGGTGTCAGGTAAAAATTCATCGATGGGTGTAAGTCTGACAATGGGTGGAAGTTTGGCATCAGGTTGAAGTACGAAGAAAGTTCGACGACGGACAAAAGTCATGTGTCAAGTAGAAATCAGGCGACTGGCATATGTCCAATGACAGGTGAAGTTTGGCCTCTAGTAGAAGTCTATTGAAAGTCCAGTGATGGATAGAAGTCCAAAAATGGATGGAAGTTTGGCATTCGATAGAAGTCCTGTGACTGGAGAAAGTCCGACGTCGGGTAGAAATCCAACAAAAAGTATGGCGATTGACAGAAGTCCGGCGTTGGGTAGAAGTCCGACGTAAGTCCGTCGACTGGAAAAACTTAGGTGACGAGTGGAATTCAGGTGTCAGATAGATGTCTGACAAAAGTTTAACAATGGGCGGAAGTCTGGCATCGGGTAGAAGTCTGGCTAAAGTCTGGTGATGGGTAGAAGTCTGACGATGAGTGGAAGTCCAGTGTCGAGCAGAAGTCTGACGTCAGGTAGAAGTCCGACGACGGGCAAAAGTCTGGCATGGTCAAGGAGGAGTCTGGTGGCAAGAGAACTCTTCATTCTTTTCCTTCTCTTCTTGCTCGGGTCCCTTCCTTCTCCCCCTTCCATAAGAAATTAGGGGTCTATTTATACTTTTTTTAGAGTGACATGACCAGTAAATAGGAGAGAGATTAAGGGTAATTTGAGAGTGGTTTGAATGGACATTTGATGTGAATTTCCTCGATCATAGACCATTTATTTAGTATTTGTATGTCTTAATGATATCAAAATTTGATGATCTTAGGATCGTTGGATTTATATCGTCAAGCAGCTCAATTTGATTATAAGCATGCCACATTTGGAAACTATTTGATAATCCAAATTATGTATTGAACCTTCCAAATGTGCTTGAAGTCTTTTATTTGGACTCATTTGGGCTCGGATTGAGTCAAATTTGGTATCATTGGGTTTGTATTTTCGATACGTTCAGTTCGATTATAAGTTTGTTGAAATAGAAGTTCAGATGGTCTTCAATTTAATTAATTTTTAAAATTTCCAATTTAATTTTCCCTTGAGATTTGTACCCGATCAAGATAATTTTTTGATGATATATCAAGAAGCATTGGAGAGACCAAATAAGCTAGCAAAGTATAATGATCATAAATAATAATCTTGGTATAGTGTGTTCCTCTCATTAAGAGAAATTCATGCTACTAATAATTTGGAAATCAAAGTTTTGTAGAATAGTAATAATTTTGATAAGTAGGTATCAAATTAGAAATTGCTACTAAACAATAATGATATACCACTCATTTTTAGACAAAGGTTTCATTTGCAATAACTTTTTTACTACTTCTTAGGCCGCTTTAAGAAACAGTAAGAAAATCATCTCAAACGAAGCCAAAATGTTCATCTTTCAGAAGGCAATATAATCCTCTAAATAGCTCATAAATCAGTCGCCTATAATGATCACAAAAGTTTCTATTTTTTTAGATGTATAGAAACAAATAGCATGAAAAATAAATGAAATCCAAATTGATTTTATATAATGGCGTGTTTGCTCGCAATGAGGAGAAGTTGAGAGCGAATACGAAAGCCAACCTAACCACTTGTGGGGCAAATTCAGGGGCGGATCCAGCTTCTTTTTTCAGGATGGGAAAAAAAAAATTCTGTGGGGATGAGCAAAGATGCTTAGGATTGATTAAATGAGGGTAAAAATTTTTTTTGAGAGGGGGCAAAATACCCAAAATATTCCAAAATATCCCTCTAAAATTAAAAAAAAAAAAATTTGAGGGGGGGGGGGGGGGGGCGCATTTGCAAATGCCCCCCCTCAACTCAATGGGGATCCGCCCATGGGGGCAATGATATCGTCAACCACTAGCTATAGCTATCACATCACTTGTATGAGATAAAGAGGGTTGAGAAAGGCAAAGAGGAGGTGAGGACGTCTCCAACCGCGTGGCACAAACAAAGTGGCATTAAGAAATGTATTTTCGTGTTTAGGGTTTAGGTTGATGCTAATTGGCATCGCACTTGTCACGTTCCAAAATATAATTTAAAAGAATTATTCTAAATACGATAGCATATAAAAAGTTATGCGGTGATAGTTTGATAAAATTAGAGAAAATATAGTAAAATTAATTTTGAGAAAAATCCAAGAGTCAAAAATCAAAATATTTAAAAATAGAGATGTGATTAGAGTCACCTACCTCAATTTGAGGAATTTTCGTAAAAAGGATAAGGTGATTCGATGGTCAAAAATTAGGTTTTCCCTTTTCTCTCTCCTCCTTCCCTCTCCCTCTTCTTCTATTTCCTTCCTTGGTAAGTCGTGGCGGTGAGTAGAAATGAGGGACGATGTGTCACATTCTAAGATTTATATTGGAAGAATTATATATGTCTTTCATTTTAATCATTTAACAAGAGGTTATCAATGAATAATAGAAAAAATATGATTACATTTTTTGTCAAGTCTAGAGCCTTATATCATAGGATCCTTATAATTTTCTGAAAACATGTAAAATCATATGATAAGCACATAGCCCCGCAAGTAACTAAAATCTTACAACTAAAATCAATACAAGATAAAAGAGAGTAATATGTTATAAATCATATAAATAAATATATGCATCAATATATATACTGATTATCTGTATAAACTTATCTTTATATAATTCATCACATGTTAATCTATTATATCATCAGTCACATTATTGATAAAAAACAACAATATTATACTAGTAATAATATTAATATCATGATCAATAACATTAAATAGTGTTAATGATAGTAAACAATATTATTGTCAAGCATAATATCAATACATTATTCATAGTAGTGCCAGTATTAGTATTCAAATATTAAATGAGCATATCTTAAAGTCATTTTACTCCGACACTTATGACTCCCACTCAATCTCACTATATAACTCCTAATTAATGTACTCCTTATAGCTTCTCTTGAATCACGTGAATTAGTAATCCTAACTCATTATAACTCACAATCAATCTCCAATTTCTTATGGCTCTCAATCAGTGAATCACATGGATCAATAGGGTATCACATGGAGTTATCATATCATATATCTGATATGGTTCAATACTTCATTTAAAATGCAATAAAATATAGTGTCACAACGCTCATCAGACCAACGCCAAAACATTCTACTTCAGAATTTTCATATTTTAAAATAATCACATATTTGAGTTTTTACACGACAAGTGAAGAGAAATATATATTAAAATATTTTTTAGTGGACAGCGTCGTCGTGATGTATGAAGAATTCAAAATTACTGTAGAACAGAGGCTTCAACGTTACAGCGGTCATTCTAGTGGACACCGTCCTCCGAAATCCAGTGTCTCGACGCTTAAAGGCATACTGTCGTTGAGTTATAGTTAAAACATGATTTAGATTTTTTTTAACACTTAGTATTTTCAAGTTACTACAACAGTATTCACCAATGCATTAAAAAAAAAGCATAAGAGTAAGAATATATATAAAATATTCTTTTTTTAATTTAGAAATAAAATTTGCTCATATGTCTCATTAAATTTTTTAGTGGAAAATAATTTTTTCAGTTGGAGCTAGGCTTATTTTTTTCAGTCAACGAATACTTATTTGGGCTTAGATCCAAATATTATTGATGTAATCAAAATTATTACAATGAAATGATCCTTTTAAGTAGTATTTATCATATAAAAAAACTGAGTTCCTAATTTTTTGTGGTTTTTGAGACCTAAAATTATATGAAAAATTCATATAAATCTTATGAAAAACTTAATATATAATTTAAAAAGTATTGTTCATAAAAAAAATCACATAAACTTTATTAAAAAAATATAAAATATTCAAACATACAAATATCTAAGTATGCTGTTCCATATTAAAAATTTAAAATCAGCAGGTTGGTGTTCTTGGGAAAAGGCTATATATTCTCATTCTCTATCTAACCATGTTTTCTTTTCAGCATCTCGTGAGAAGCATTGAGGCCACAGCACAGTAAGAGCAGAATTTTTTTTTTTAAAAAGGAGACAGGAAAGGCAGCACAAGGACATGGCTATGCGTAGAAGTAGGGGGAAGGCCTGTCAAGTCGCTGTTGCTCTTTTACTGAAAATTTTCCTGAATTTAGCGTCAAATCACATCATCTTCTCTCTCTCTTCAGGTCATTTTGGAAATATAATACCATTTTTCCTTTTGTTTTGGCCGTTGGATAGCTTTTCACAGACAAGTTTATATATTTGGGAGCCACACAGGTTCTTGGGTTAGAGGGATGAAGCTCTTATTGCTGTGAAAGTTGGAGGAATCTAGGGGAAGACTCTTCTCTCTTAACAGATCTTTTTTCTCAGGGATTGATAGTGAGGTAGAAGTGTGTAGCTTGTTGATTAGAGTTAGAACTTTCTTCTCTCTTTCTCTCTATTGCACAGAAAGTTTTAACATTTTTCTTTCTTTTTGATGAGTTTGAAGTTTTGGTCTTCTCAGAGGAGCAGTAAAATGACTAAAGATGAAGACTTTAAGCTTCTCAAGATCCAGGTTTCCCCTTCTCCCACTCCTTTGGCTTCCTTTTTCTATAAGCAAAGCTTCTTTTTTATTTTTATTTTTGGGTCTGCGGGGAGGGAAAAGGGGAAGGGATTGTAAAGGTTCTATTTTTATTTTTTACTTTTCATTTTTTTTGCAGACCGTTAGCCTCAAAGTGAACTTACACTGTGATGGCTGTAAGCAGAATGTGAAGAAGATCCTTCAAAAAATTGAAGGTATTTTCTTTGAAAGTTCTCTTTCTGTTCATTTGAGAGATTGTAAGATTACTTCCTTGTTTTCTTTTCATCTGGTTTTTGGTGTAGATAGTTTTTTTTAAATATGTTTTGTTTATTTCCATGCTTTTAGCTTTTCTTTTGATCTATACGGATTAAAATCCACTGTTACTTGTTTGATTGTTCAGTTTGAAAAGATAAAATTTTGTTTACTATGTGCAGAATATGGTCCTCTTGTTTATATTTCACAAGAGGGTAAATAAAGACTTTTTTGTGTCCTAAAATCTATAAGCCATTTCATAATATTATGCGCAAATATCCTTATTTTCATCCAACAATAGCAAATTCTTCACACAAAGGTAACAAAATGAAAGATAGAAGAACGCTTTTGAATGACAAAATACAATTTTCTTCTAGGGGTCTACACAGTCACCATTGATTCAGAGAAGCAGAAAGTTACAGTCTCAGGAAATGTGGATTCAGCCACTCTTATAAAAAAACTGGCAAAATCTGGGAAGCATTCAGAGCTCTTGAATCAGAAACCCAACAACTCCACAAATAATCAGAATCACAAACCAAATAACAATCCTAAGTCACATCAGTATCAGCCCATCAAAGATAACCCTTCCAAGAAAAATAATGGTAATGTCAACAACAACAACAATAAACCTCAAGCAACCCAACCCCTCCTGCAAGGTCTCAAGGCTTTCAAGAACCAGCAAACTAAGTTCGATTCTTTCAGCTCTGATGACGAATTCAGCGATGAAGACGATGAAGATGACCTTAACTTTATAGGCCATAAGTTGAACCTTTTGAAACAAGCAAATCCAGGAACAAATGCAAAGAAGAATGGTAAGAAAGAGGGAGGGTCCAAGTCCAACCATGACAATGGAGGGATGATGAAGAATCTAAATTGTTCAGAGTTCAAAGACTACATGAATGCCACAACAAACACCAATATGTTGAGTAATCCAACAACGAGCAATGGGATTATGGGATTTGGAGCTCTTCAAGGCCTCAATAAAGGCTTCCCTCCAACTGTTACGAACTTCAATGGTAGCCATGGCAATCCATCTTCCATTATGATGAATCCAAGTAGCTTATACAGCAATGGAAATTTGCAGCCACAGGTTATGTATAATAGATCTCCTCAGATCCCTCCCTACACTGGCTTCTACTCCCACCCTTATTACTATAACATCAACAACTATAATAACAGCACAAGTCATCAATCAGAGGACTATGGAGCTTATAATTACAGTAGTGATGAGGACAGAAGCAGTTGTGCTGTCATGTGAGTGGAGAGGAAAAAAGGAAGAAGATGTGTTTCTATTATGAAGTATGTGATGAGTACTTAGTACTGTTCATTTTGTCTATCTTTTTTTTTTTTTTCTTGCTGGTGCTTTGCAATATCTTTCTATTTTAGTTGCAGTTAAAACTAAGGGTGTTCTATCCTGTCATGCCAACAGAATTCTCTCTTTGTGAGCAGTGAATTGATTCTCTGTGCTCCACTTTGTGAGATTTGAGGGATGATAAAAAATCTGTAGTTGTCATGTTCATGTGATCAAAGGAGGAGAAATGGTTATGTATGGATTACAATACATAAGCATATATTCGCTGCGTATTGTGTATATAGTTATCTACACGCTTACAGCGTAAGAACACTTGAGCTTCGTTTGTGACCGCTTTCTTACTGCTTTTACATCTTTCTTTTCAAATTAAACCCTAGTGTATACAATTGCATACTCGTGTGTTGTGTATGGTTGTGCACTATTGTGTGTTCGATACGCGAATGTATACTTATATACTCAATTGTATGAACAATAAGACAATTAGTGTATAAATTGAGCATACAAACTATATAAAACTTAGAACTACTCATGATTCAAATGTGATGAGGGGAGGGTTTGAATGTTGGGTTAACTTTTCAAGGGAAGAAGATGGTCAATAAAAAATAACTAATTATTTTGTGCGGTCATCGAACGGCATCCGAAGACGAATGAGAGTACGTCACGTCACTTTTTATTGTATACTGATGTTATGTATAATTGTGTATCGAGTGATGTGATTCATTTTTATTTATCTCTGATCATTCCGGTGTCCGCACAGAAATATGTTTTCAATGCAGATTTTGTCTTTACTTTTTGTACAAGGAAGATATCATAGATTCCCAGAGATAGGAAGCTGAAAGCTACTTTTCAAGTGTATTTTGCCTATGTGAGCCTTTCATGGTGGATTAGATTGATGAGAAGCCATTGGGACCATTCAAAGTGGCATGTTTGAAAATATTTTATTCTGATAGATTTTATATAATGATTAAAAAAAGAAAAAAATGTATATAATAGGAAAAAAATGGTTATTATTTTTATTATATTTATTATGTAAAATGAATTATAATATTTGATCTAATGAGAGGAAGATATCAGTGAGGAAGTTAGGATGTCTCTATTCACAAAATAATGAAGGAATAATTGGTTCCACAAATGATACAAAATAAGAACTGTTGCTTGTGAGATCCTCCAAAAGGGTGGTGTTCTTACAACTTATAAAGAATTGATGGTACATTTGAAATAGTTACAAATAAAATATCATTAAATTTATGATTTTTAATAGTTTGAATTAAGGGTAATTGAGTCAAGCTGACTTGTGCGTTGATGTGGGCTCAACTCAATAATGGTTTGTAAGTTGAGTCTGATGAGTCAAATTTGAGCCAATGACTCGTTATCTTATGAGCTGATTTGTTTAAAAATATTTATGTAAAATAGGTTTAAAATATGTTAAAATTTAAGAGTTCATATAGAAAGCAATACAAAATATTTAAAAATTTTGCCTCATTTTGTAATATCTAATGATTTATTATTATTTTTCTTCTGATCTTTTTATTTTTTGATTATTTTTTATAAAAGTTGCTTAAGTAAAAATAATCTTATTTCCCTCATCATAAATAAGCTGGCTCATAAGCAGATTATAAATATGATTAATTAAACTAGCTCAAATAAGGAGTGATTTTAGCTTTATGTGACTCATTTACATTTCTAATTATAATATATGAAAATAAATAATGAAGTTTTGTATATTACCAAAACTTAATTATATGGAATATTCTAAATGCTTGAATATTTTAAATGTCTTATTTGCAACAAATAATGAATGACTCTTGTAATAGTCATAATCACCTCATTGTTATGCATCTTATCTTTCTTTATTTGCAAGCAAATAATCAATGAGCAGTACATCCATCATCAATGCTTATTATACATCAATAGAGAGCAAGGCATCCATCATCAACAAGAAGAGAATAGTATTTCATCTATCATCTATGCCATTAAAAGAGAATCACAATATTAAGTTAAATGTTGCTGAGATGAGGATGCTCAGATGGATGATTGGATTTACTCTTAGAGACGGGATAGGAAATGAGCATATACGTGGAAAGGTTGGAGCAGCTTCCGTGATGGATAAGATTAGAGAGAGTCGCCTTAGATGGTTTGGTCATGTAAAACGGCAGCCAGTCGATGACCCTATTAGAAGAGTATATGTATTAGATTTGGCCTATGTTAAGAAAGGTAGAGGTAGATCGACCTAAAAAAACTTGGTTATACAATATTAGAAATGATATCTCTTTATTAGATTTAAATGAGAATTTGATTCTTAATAGGACGCAATGGAGAAAAAGAATTCATGTAGCCAATTCTACGTAGTGGGATAAATGATTGATGTTGTTGTTCTTTGTTGTTGTATAATGGACTTTGTATTTTAGGCTTCCTTTGAGACATCTTTCTTATTGTTTTCTAAAGCATTTTTTTAATACAAAAATTTCTCGTTCAAAAATTTTTTTGTACTAAAAAACTGATTTAGAAAGCAGTAAAAAAGTGATCTCAAACGAAACTTATTTAGTCCTAAAATTACTTTTTCAACAATTAGGCTCATAATAGTAAACCTTTTACTCTTTCATTTGGATATTTACCTAAACTTATCCCTTTAAATTATTATTTTATTATAAGGCCAACCCATTTAATAATTTATAATTAAGAAAAAATGAGTTTTGATAATGAAATTCCGATGAAAATATGAAAGCATCAATAACTTTACTACTTATTTTCAAATATTAAAATTTTTAATGAATTTTATAATTTTTTGTTTCTAAGATTCTAAAAAATTGAAAATTAATGTAAATGGAAATATTAGAGCTAATTTTTCATAGTTAAAAAACAATTTCAAAATTTGTGAAGTGGATAAAAAACATTAATAATGGCTATCTAATATTCATAAAGGGACCATATGCAATTAGTTATAAAAATTATAATATAATTATTATAAAAAGAAATAAATATTTCAAAATAATCTTATTATCATATTCATACTGCTACGACACTCTATCAATTATAAAAAATCATTTCTCATCATAGAAAGTTATATAAATATTAAAAAATAATAATTATAGCCAAATGAGAATATTTCATTAATATGAAAAATGTAAGAAAATTGTGTCAAACAATTATATATATCATTATTATAATTATTTTTTATATTGTTAAGGTAAATTAATTACAAGCTCACATTAGTCTAAATATGCAAAATTTTAATTCTATAATCTCAATGATGGAAATGCTGAAGTTTGTAACTGTAGGCTAAGAAGACCTAAATTATCTTATTATTTTTTAAAAACAAACTTTGCATACTTATATTTGTGACGTCAATAACAAGTCAAGTGAATGGTACAACCAATAAGAAACAAATAGAAAAGGAAATCAATAGCAAAAAAGCTAAAATCCAAGAGAAAAGAGAGGAAAAGTAAAATGTAAAAAGATTTGTGGACCCACCGCTACTTGTCCAGGTGGTGAAGAGCCAGCTGGGCAAAGCCTAGGTCCTTGGTTCGAATCCCTTGGCAAGCAGTGAAAGTCTTAAGTGTTGGACCGTGTAAATTGGTATGGGTTGCATGCTAGGTTGATCGGAGTTTTCACTGACCTAAGGAAAATGCTTCCTCGTCACAAAAAAAAAATCTGTGGAGAAAGAGGAAAAGAAGAAAACAATATCCATTATTATATCTAAGGCTTAATTGTATTTTTTTTTGTTTTACCTATTATCTTATTAAATTTTTTAAATAATTAATAATAAAATTTTAATTCAATATCTCTTAGTTGGTAGTCAGAGTTCCTAACCAATGAGAACTGCGCGTCAATATCTATGCTGATAAGCTTTTAGTCAAAGCTCCATCGCATGAATTGCACCAATCAAGAGGAGTTCACCTACCGAGAAGGATCATTATGCGACCAAACTATCAGAAGGCCAATGAGAAAACTCTCTCTAATCTTATATATCACTAGAGCTATTAAAACCACCTCACGTATAAACTTTTTTCCGTATTTTATCTATAAGTGTAAAGCCACTGATCCACCTGACCATACTAACTATCTGCAACACTTACTTTTATACTTCTCTTTTAATGGCCAACATTCCGCGGCATAAAACATTACAGGTCTCTCCATCATCTTAAAAACTTTTCCCTTAATTTTGAGGAGTACATTTCTATCACACAACAAGCCTCTTGTCGTCCTGCATTTCAGACATCCAACTTGAATTCTACTAATAATATCCCCATCTATTTCACCATCGTTTTGAAAAATAGACCCCAAATATCTAAAACATGCATTCTTTTTAATGACTTGATCACCCACATCTATATATAATATTTCACCTACTTTCCTGATTTCTTATTTGGTTAACATACAAAATTTACATTAATTAAAATTGAAACCTTAACCATTTTGTTTGATTTTAATTGTATGGATTAACTGTTAGGAATCGTGATTTGTGTTTCATAAGCATCTGTTAAACTTCATAAAAGCTTTTTTTGTAAGCTAAAGAACTTCATGGTTTGGCTTAGATAATTCATGAAAACATTGCTAGGCTTGCTGCAGGGAAATGACAAGGACAAAAAAAGGTGAAATTATTACGTGTGATCATCGAACGTCGTATGAACTTAAGGCAAGTCAGGACGTGTCACTTCACCAATACGCTGTGTACCGATATGTATTGGGTGACATAGCGTGTCCTGACTAGCCTCCAGATAATCCGGTGACCGCATGTAATAATCTCTCCAAAAAAAGACGCTATTTGCTCCAGCTTATGAGCTACTAGCTTGTAGTATATTCGAATAACTCAGTGATTATATTTATTCTAGTAAATCAACGGCATCAAATAGTAATTAGTTCAATCAATTTTTCATATAGATCCTTATTAGCTTTAGGCTTACATTTAACTTTAAAATCCTAATCTAAACCTATAAATCAGAGGTCAATTAAGGAGAAGCTTAGGCCACTATATCATATATACTTGACATATGCTTTTTACGATAAGCTCTTTTTATTTTTTATTTTTTCTCATGGAGAGTTTGAAGGTTACTCCCACCAACAAAAACTTACATAACAAATCCTACAGATTTTATATAAAAAATTTAAGGTTGCGAAAATCTGATCAGACGATAAACTAAAAGAAGAAGAAGTTCACGGATCGATCGGTTGAACTGGATGATATAATAAATAAGAATATTATTAAAATAATATTTTTAATATAATTTTAATTTACATATAAGTATATAATTTAATATAAATTATTAATAATTTATGTTATTCATAAGGCTGTGTGATTAGAAGCCTTTGTCTGAAAAATTCCATGAACTTCAAGTGCTTAAAGCACACCTCATCCTGCCTGTTGCTGCTCAGTTATTGATACTATCCTCATTTATATGTGAAAATTATTTTGTGCGGACACCGAATGTCGTCCAAAGACCAATCAGAATGCGTCACGTCTTCCCCGCTCGATACCAAACTTTGTATGGCTGATGTGGGGCATTCTTGTTGGTTTCCGGACTATGAATTTCGTTCGATGTCCGCACAGAATAATTTCTCCTTTATATGGTAGAGGCATACATGAAAAGCATAAGATTCGCAATAACTAGAATATAAACTAAGGCTTCGTTCGGGACGGCTTTCTTATTGCTTCTTAAAGCATTTTACTATAAAGCTGCTTTAAGAAACAACAAAAACATCATTCCAAACGAAGCCATACGAAGACTTTCTTACTGCCAACGGCGGATCCAGGCTTAGCCAAGGGTGGGCAAATGCCCACCCTAAATAAAAAAATTTAGGGTACTGGAGGGGCAATTTAGGAACTTTGCCCCCCCTCAAAATAATTTATTTGCCCTAAATCTTCATGTTGCCCCGTTCCAATTTCAGTCGTTCACAGTTTTCATTCGCCCGACTCTTCGAAAATTTCAAGTTTGCAGCCGCCTTCGTGAAGAGATCGCCGGACGGGTGGAAAGCTCTCGTTCACAATCTCAGTCGCCTTCATCTTTGCGTCTAAGCTTCTTCGTGAATAGGTCGCCGGCTACCCACAACCATCTCTTCCCATTTGACAGCCGTCTTCATCGTTTTGAAGGTAAGTTCAATTTTTTTGAAAAAATTCCAGTTTTTCTTGAAAAAATTCCAGTTTTTCTTATTTACATCTTGTTTGGGCGGTTCCAGTTTTTCTTATTTACATCATTTGACAGCCAATTTTTTTTTGAAGTCTCAGCTGCCTTCTATTTCTTTTTTCAGTTTTTCTTATTTACATCTTGAAAAAATTCCAGTTTACATCTTGAAAAAATTTCAGTTTGAAGTCTCAGCCGCCTTCTAAGTTCAATTTTTCTTATTTAGATCTTGGTACTGTTGTTATCATAGTGCCATATTAAGCATTTTAGTATACAGTGATGGTGTTTGCTTTAGGAATTAGTTAATATACAACACATTCCTTATCTTCTGTATCACGCAAACAAGAAGAACAAGTGAAAAACTAATGTATATGACGAAATATAGAAAAGAGGGAAGGGATTTTTCTTTTATGTTTACCTGCACTTCTTTGGATACAGGATCCATAGTTAATAAATATGTTTATGATGATTGTGTTTGCTTTTGGCATTTTTCTGCAATCATTTGTGAATTTTGTTAGAATAACATTGTTAGCTGAATTGGATTAGTCATTATTATCATTTAGAGAAATGGAACGGTTCTTGAAGCGAAAAGAACGTGTCGAGATTGATATTGACAATCTACCTGCTGATCCTGGTCTTCGACCTTCCATCTGGAGTTATGATGTAAACGACCGTGATAGAGTTCGTAGAGCTTATTTGTTGAAGGGAGCGCATCAACCAAAAAATCATCAATTCCCTCAAACAATGATTGGAAATATTGCACGTAGATTTAATTCAAAATGGTTTGAAGACTTTCCTGATTGGATGGAATATAGTATACAGAAAGATGCAGTATTTTGTCTTTATTGCTACTTGTTTAAGTCTCAAGAGCAAGTTAATTCTAGCAAAGGCGGTGGAGATACATTTGTTGGTGAAGGATTTAAGAATTGGAAGCGTAAAGAGAAGCTATTGGGTCATGTCGGAGATCATAGTAGTGCGGGGTGAGTTTAATGGTTTGAAAGCACTAATTTTGAAAGATAATCCATAGGCATTCTATATTCATTATTTTGCTCATCAACTTTAATTATGTTTAGTGTCTATTGCAAAAAATTATTGGCAAATAAAGCATTTATTTGAGATCACTTCAAGAATTGTCAATACAGTTGGTGCTTCATGTAAGAGAAATGACACCTTAAAAGCTATTCAACATGATAAAATAGTTTTTCATTTAACCAGTGGAGAGTTAATTAGTGGTCGAGGTTTGAACCAAGAAACAAATTTTCATCGTGCTAGTGACACCCATTGGAGTTCGTATTTTCATACATTAATCAGTCTAAGAAAAATGTATGCTTTAGTGAACGAAGTACTTGAAATTGTCAAATATGAGGGGATACATGATCAACATTCAGTTGAAGCAGGTGTTTTAATACATGCTATGGAATCATTTGATTTTATCTTGGCAATGCATTTAATGATTGATATTTTAGGGATTACAAATGAATTATCACAAGCCTTACAAAGAAATGATCAAGATATTGTAAATGCAATGAAATTGGTACAAGTGGCCAAGCAACGATTACAGATGTTGAGGGAAAATGGATGGGAACCTTTATTTGAAGAAGTTTCACGTTTTTGTAATGTTTTTGAAATTGAAGTTCCAAATATAGATTCTAAATTCAAGGCTCGTGGACGGTTAGTACGAAAAGGTGCGGAAATAACAAACTTTCATCATTATCGAGTTGATTTATTCTACACTGTTGTTGATATGCAACTTCTGAAACTTAATAACCGTTTCTCTGAATCTAGTACCGAGTTACTTCTTTGTGTTGCATGTCTAAATCCAAGTAATATGTTCGGTGCTTATGATAAGAGAAAATTAGTTCGTCTTGCAGAGTTATATCCGGCAGATTTCTCTATAGTTGATCTTGTGTCTCTTGATCATCAGCTAGCTACTTATATTATTGATATGCGTACTAGTGATGAGTTCACATCTTTGACTAGTATCGCGGCTCTTGCACAACAGATTGTAAAGGCCAAAAAAAATATTGTGTATCCCATGGTTTATAGACTTATCATTTTGGCACTGACTTTACCAGTTGCTACTGCTACGGTTGAGAGAGCATTTTCAGCAATGAAGATTATTAAGCATCGACTGCGTAGCAAAATGAGTTATGCTTGTCTCAATGATTGTTTAGTGCCATATATTGAAAAAGAAGTATTTGATTCTATTCCAAATGAAGTCATCATGCAACATTATCAGAAAATGCAAAGTAGAATGCAAAGTTTGTAATTTTCTTTTTTATTTCATAAACTATTATGAAGTACAATGTATTACTTAGAATTTTGCTAATGAAATGGAGGTATTTACTTTTTTATATATTGAATTTGCCCCCACTAAAAGAAAAGGCTGGATCCGCCCCTGCTTACTGCTTCTAGAAAAATGGAAAAATTAAAATATTTGTACTAAAAAACTATTTTAAGAAATAATAAGAAAGCTATCCTAAACAAATTAAGCTTTAGTAAATGTTAGGGAGAAGAATAAAGATCTTGAAGTGCTGAAGCTATATATAGGAATTTTCTTCCATGAACAAATGACATATAATGTAAGGAAATTTTAATAGGTCTAATCATTTTTTTTTATTATTGCTAAAATTGTAATATTATTCATAATGTAAGGAAACATGCAAAAAACATACCATCCTTGTGGATGTGCTCTATTGTGTGGTGTATGTGATTGTATAAGACATATGTATATAAGCGTGTCAAAAAATGACTCGAGCCAAAACATTAGGGTTTGCGTTGACTTGTTTCATAAATGGGTCGAGTTTGGGTCTAAAATTTTAACATGTTTATAAAATTGATCAAGTGTGAGTTCACTTGCAAACCCAATGTTGACCTAAAAGTGACCCGTTAAATTTGTTTTTTTCAATTTTTCTTTTGCAAATTTAACTAAACCTTATAGTTTACAAGATATAATTTTTTTTTTATCAAAATGGGTTATCAGGTCGAGTTTGAATTGTTCGTGTTGCTAACAAGTTCGATCATGTCTGTAATTTTGAACCATTTTTAAAACATGTGAGACCTGAATCTGATCCATTAACCTATATTGAATGCTTTCTAGGGATTCCAAATGGAGAAATGTTGAACTTTTTCTGGAGTTAAAAGAGTATCATTGAGTATATTTGCCTTCTATTTGATAAGAGATTGAGGTGAATGAGTTGTAGGAATTAGTTTATTATTAACCCTTGCACATTTTCCGTTCATTAAAAAAAGTTGATTATTATTATTATTTATAGTAATCTTCTTCTTAAAAATTAAAATAAATATTAATTAATTATTAAATTACATCTAGTGCCAATTTAGTAAAAATAAGAAGATTATACCAACAAATAAAAATTTAAAAGAAAAAAATATTAAATGAGTTATTTTTGGATCAAAACCGGCCGGGGTTTTGACCCGTTTAATAAACGGGTTAGAAAATCTAACTCGAACACAACTAGTTTATTAAACAGGTCAACCTTAATACAGTCCGTTTAATAAATAGATCAAAAAACCTAAGCCAAATTCCATCCGTTTAATGAACGAGTCAACCCGTATCTGAATTTTTCAAATCATGTTGACGGGTCGGATCATTTATTGACACCCATAGCAAATATTATATATCCAATGTCATTTAAAGTTCAAGTTTAATATTCTCCTATGAAGATTGTAATTGTTGAGCATTAACTAGAGAGGCTTTGTATTCATTTTTTTTAAAATTTATTTCTCACCTTTTTTTTTTAAGCAAAACAAGAAAGTCTATTAATAAAAACAGAACGGTTACAATCTCAAGAGAATAAAGAAATAAGGAGAAGAAAGAAAGGATATAATGAAAAAAGGACACAGTAATCAGCCGAGGCTCCCAGCATCCCCGAAGTCTCGCACGGACCGTCCAATAAGGTGAAGAAAGCGACTAAAAAACCCACCAACTCGAGTAAATTCACCAAAGGTTGCCACCACAAGGCAACGAGGACGTGAGCCCCAGCCACATCATAGTCCAAATCCAACTCAGCACCAAACTGACCAAATCAACAACAAGTAAACAGAAAAGAAGAGCATAATACATAATACAAATCCAAATTATCTTCTTCTCTGGCCCCTCCCACGAAAACGCCCACAAGAGGCAGCGAGATGACCGGTCTATCCCGAACCAGAGTAAATTCGTTCCCAGGGTCCGATCCACCAAAAAAATCTGGAGAGGCCACACCACAACCCGAAAAATCGGACTCAGATTCAAATTCAGAAGAACCATGTAGCCAATCCACATGGTTCCTAATATCATACCCAGAATTGCCACCCAAACGATTGACCATAGTGTTTGTATCGGCCAAGTTTACAGGGACTTCAACGAGATTGTTAGAACCAACCGCAATTCCATTCAAAGTTTCCACCTGCAAACACTCAGCATTGACATCCACATTAACAACAGGAGAACCCGAAACCACAACAGCCGAACCTCCATGGACTTCATTAACAGACATACGCAAAAATTCCTCACCCAACTCAGGCGACGAAACAATCAATTTATCGAGCTCAACCACATCAGCACGCCCTTCCTCCACAACATTAATGTTAATACGAGCAGGTAGAGTACCCGGAGAAATCCCAGCCGCAATAAAGTCCCCAGCCTCATTAACACCCCCAGTTGCAGCACCATGCTCCTGTCACGACCCGACCCGAGACGAGACGGATCCCGCCCGCGCTGGATCGCGACGGAGCTGCACTAACCAGGATCTAGCTTTGGAATTTATTTGCATTAAAATCACAATCCAACACTCCATGAGCCAAAGGAACTTCAACATTAACCATATCATTATCACATAGAGGCTTTGTATTCATGAAAGCATTAGAATGTTGAAAGTGAAACATCATGGTATTTAATGATTTGGCATTATCTTACCTTGTTATGTGTAGGGATTGAATATTTTTTAAGGAAAAAAAAAAAATTTATGTCATCATGTGCTTATAAAAAAAAATGGTGATGATGAGCTTTAAAGCCGTTAGATCTACTTTGAGATCATCATGATATAAAATAAATATATATCCCACTTATCTCAAAATAGATTCAAATGCTTTAATGATATTCCTTTGATTTTAGTGCTATATGATTGTTCAATGGTGTTAATTATAATGTAGCATTTTAAAGGTGTGAAAATGGTGGCGGCGGGCAAAGTACATTGACGATGGTGTTCGGATGGAGCTCCAAAAATACCCAAGCATTTTAGCTCTCTTGAATATTTAAGGATTCAGGCTCCCACCCCTCCTCATTGTGAGAGTGCGTGCTGTAAATATGGAGAAAATTTGAAACACTTCGTCTATGACTAGTATTGATTCTCTTAATCGTAAAATATTTGTTCAACATTTAATTGTCTTAAAAATACTAGAATCAAGATATTTTGGATTCATTGGATTCGTCTCATCGAGCCACTCTATTCAACTATAAGAATGCCAAACTTGACGATCATATAGTCATTCAATTAATGTCCTGAAGATTCAGTTAAAATTTAAACCCTTCATTTGGGCTCATTCTGGCTCAAATTGGATTATTTTTTATGTCATTTGGTCTGTCTAATTGAAATGTTCAATTTGACTATAAGTTTGATGAATTCAAATTACACATCCTAAATTTAATTTGAAAATTTTTTAATTCAAATATGCATCTAATTTCATGTAGAATCAACATGACAAAAAAATAATAAATTAATAAAAAAAATTATGTCATCATATCGTAATATAATTTATATTAGGAAAAACTTATAAACTATTAATTTCTTTTTAAGATTAGTATTACATAAGTATTTTAATTACATTATTTTTTAAATAAATTTTAACGTCATTCTAATATAATATATATCAAAATATTCCATCCTATTTTATTTATTTTCCAAACTTTAAATCTTATTATAATTAACATTTAGCCAAAATATGAAAATCTTTAATGAAAAATTCCACCAAAATGTTTATATATAAAAAAAATAATAATAAATTAATAATAATAAATAAATCTGCAGCGCATGCTTTAAGGCTGTTCACGCTTTTTATGACGCCACGTCTCCCCCATACATTCGCGCCCTTTAGGACTTCACGAGACTTCAGTGCCTGCCAGCTAAATTCCCTCTTCATTAATTATTAATTAATTTTCATTGGAAAACAATTAGGTCAGCATATTTTAATAGTAAATAATAGTTAAATATTTAATAAATGTTATATTATAATGATAATTAAATATTTATTTAAAAAATTAATTGAAAATAGTTTCTATTTTCATATATGATTCATAAAGTTTTTAATTATATTTTGATTTATTTATAAATTGAAATCAAGTTTTTATGTCATTTAAATATAATGAAATATGCTAACTTAATATTCTAATCATTCAAAGCAATTTAACTACAAATGTTATATTTTTAGTTTTTAAAATATTCTTTTGCTTTATATATCTCTATTAATATTACATTTTGGTTGTTTTTGTTAGGGATGTCAAAAGATAAATTATTTTGTGCGGTCGGGCGTAACTCTACGTCCAAATGCCGCAGTACTGAGCGGTACCGAGGCTCGGTACCGAGCTGTGCTACCGAGTCGTACCATGCCTTGGTATTGTGAAAGGGTGATGTAGTGTATTTTAATTGGTCTCTGGATAGCGTTCGGTGTCCCAACAGACTAATTACTACCATAAATTTTGACTCGGTCTTGAGTTAAAAAATTGGGGTTCGGGTCGACCTATTTAATAAACAGGTTGGGTTTACATTTAAATTTCCGACTTGATTGAAATATTGGGTTAGGTTCATGTTATGCCACAAATCTGAATGCAACTCGCTTGACTAGTCCATTGGCTCCCGTCACTCGCTCGCGCTCATCTGCAGCCTCGCCCTTACCCCTCGCCCACTCACGCTAGCACTCATTGGCCTGCTCACCTACTCAGCACGCTCGCACTTGTCTTGTTGCCCATTGCAATCAACCTAATCAGTGATCGGGTCTAGTTTTTAAACCCATTTGAACAAATGAATCGGATTCAAATCCAATATATTAAGAGCGGATCAATTTCTTATTTGACTCGAAACTGACTCGAAAGCCTATTTTGACTCCCTTGCTTTCTCTACGATGATGTTCTGAACTGGCATCTAAATTGAGTGAGAGCTGTGAGAAAGAGAATATTAGGGGTGGAGGGCTTGCAAAGGTCAACTTCAATTTGCGAAGTTATTTCATTTATCCATTCAGATTTTAAGCTTTTCATATAAAAATTTTATACTAAAAAATTACTTTAAGAAGCAGTGAAAAAGCTGCGCCAAATGAAACCTCAACCGCTTCAATATTGTTCGAAGGAATGTGAAAGTTCAATTTCGAATAAATATGAACTAATTTTATTCATCAATAACTTCAATAAATAATATAAGAATATAGAATTGAATTTTTTAAGTATATTTTTTCCTGAAAAATAAAATGAGAATATTTTTTCAATTAGGTATTTATCATTTTATAATTATTTAAAATTTTATTGGCACAAGAAAATTTTATCAAATGAATGGTATTGTATTGTTAAAGATACTGAGTTTATTTTAGTATGTTGGTTTGAAGAAGGGCTATCAAAATTGGTCATGGGTAAGGTTTGATTCAATTAGAATTGATCGGACACTAGTTGATCTAATTCGAATCAGATCCGTTTTTTTTCAAACATGTCGGTTAATTTAATCTGATATGACCCAACCAACATGGGCTACCGGGTTGACCTGACTCGCTGACCCATTTTGATTCAAAAACGGGTGAGTGCGATGGCAACCGCGGTCAGGGAAAATTGGGACCGTGAGCCTCAGGCGAGGTGAGTTAGTGAGGTAGAGCACTTAAGCCATGAGGTGTCTACGGCTCTGCTCGAATCGCACAAGGATCAAGGGAAAAGGAAGAAAAAAAAAAGGGAAAAGGAAGAGGACTCGAGATGGCGCTCTCTGTTTTGCTCGGTCTGCTCGAATCGCACACATGCTTAGTTGATCGAATGGAAAGATCCATTCCAACCCTCAACCTACTCTCTCATTTGATAACCCACGCATGCAGGTTCCGTCTGTCTTCTTTCTTGTTCGATTTGAAGGAACGAATGCCCCTAATCGTCTCTTTTGTGTGTAAATCGGATCATTACTATCGTTTTTTGAATGGATGAGATTATTGAACTTGAATCTAACTCGTATGAGAAATTAGTTGATCCGAACCCAAAATTTTTCACTGATCAAATTTTGACATCCTAATTTAAAGCTTAAGTTATCAACTAAGATATTTTAATTTTAAATCTTATATATATAATGTTTTGTATAAATTTATTTTAATTTACTTATATATATATATATAAAGTATTCTTAAAGATTTATACGTGCATAAAGAAAAATATTAGGGGAATGCAGAAAGGACGAGAGAGCAGAGCCGTAGGCTTCTAATCTACTTTCGTGCTCTTCTGGCTTTAAAACCCTTATCTGGGTGTATCCTCCTTTTTTTTTTCTAGGGTTTTAGCCGGGGAGCGGTGGAGGAGGAGCGGCGATCGGAGACGGGCAGGAGTTATCGGGTTTCAGATTGGGGAGAGCTTCGGATTTATGTCGTTCGAGCTTGTTCGCTTCTTTGCCGGTGAAGAAGACAGTAACGTTAAGAAGCTCAAGTTCCGATCGTCGTCTTCGTCCCTGCTGCGACCCAACTGTTCCGCTCTGCTCGGCCCTCGGCCGTTCCTCTCTCCCTTCTCCTTTATGCAAGGGAAGCTGGCGGGTGCAAAGAAAGTCTCCATGCGCTTTCCTTCTTCCAGGTATTCATTCGTGCCCATCTAGGGTTTTAACTTGTTTGGTCTTCATAGGATTGATTTCGTTTGTTAGTCGGTTTGATTTTACGGTTTTTATTTTTCCATTTTTGCAGGCCTGGATTTGGAGTGAAGTATTTTGGGTTTTTACATATAGATCCGGCCATCTTCCTCTTTCGGCGGGCTACCCTAACTTGACACCTCTGATCTGTCCTGAAATCACCAGATCGTCAATTTTGTTTTTCAGTTTTTTCCCCTAACCTATCGATCTACTGCGTTACTGTATTTAGCAAAGTGATTAAATATGTCGGGACCTCAGAGACAGCTCCTGATCCAGGACATGATGCGAGCAAAGATAAAGAAGAAGGCCACCGCCGTCCGGAAATTTGAATCGAAGCCCATGAGAAGGATCCGCGTACTGTTGAACGACCCTGACGCGACGGATTCTTCTGGCGACGAAGACGATCTCTTCCCTGTTCTTAACCTGAAAAAGCGCGTCGTCCGTGAGATCGCGCTCCTTCCTTTCCGTCTCAACCCTATATCTTCTTCTTCTTCGTCCACCTTTACCATCGACGGTCCCGAAAACCCGAAAAAGCTGAAAACCCTAAAGCTCCGGCGCATCGCTCCCACCACCTCCTCCCCACGTTTCAAAGGCGTTCGTCAGCGGCGTTGGGGAAAATGGGCTGCTGAAATCCGCGACCCGATTCGCGGAGTTCGGAAATGGCTCGGCACATACGACAGCGCAGAGGAGGCCGCCGAAGCCTACCAGGAAGCCTTCACCCGCATCCAGGCGGAGAAGCTCGGCCTCCAGCTCTCTTCCACTCCGCCGCCATCTTCCTCCACCTCTTCTTCCATCTCCGAACGAACTCTCTCCCTCGCTTCCCCTTCCTCAGTCCTAGACGTCTCCGCTCAACAGATTCCCGCTCCGTCGAAGCCCTCGGAGCTTCCATTGGCTCCACAAGTGGAGGCTTTCGATGACATGGACCCGGTGGACATAAACTTCACTTTCTCCGGCTGCCCCTCCGCCGATTTCCTCGTCGGAAACCTCGACGACTCAGGCGATTTCCTCGTCGGAAATCTCGGCGACGATTTCGTCGGTCTCGATGACCTTCCCCTTTGGGACCCACACTTCGACGGTGGAGATCTCTCTTTCCTTGACTAGTATTGGGAATTTTGCAGCTTAGTCCCTACTTTTTTTCGCATTTACATTTAAATCACATCGTTAGAGAGTTGAAAGGTATTATTATAATTATATTTTGTGTGTTATTTAGTTAAACAAAGAGTTGTAATAGTGACCGCAAATATGCTGAATTGCAGGGGTATTTTGGGAGAAGTTTTCCACGGGTTTTTTGAAGAGATCTTTTTGTTCGTAATAAGAGCTGCCCGTGGGGATTTTTCTGTAATTCTCCCACTTTTCTCTGTATTTGTTATGGCTGTTTCAATTAATGATATTATGAGCAAATGTTCGCATAAAAGATATAAGATCTTGTTTATATTGTTGTGATAGTTAATTATTAATTACCTAATTAATCACCTAATTAGTTAATTAAGATAATTATAAAATTTAAGTATGAATAGCTTGATATGTAATTATTTATTAAACAAAATTGTTATGATTAAATAATTACTTGATTATTCATTAACCTAATAAATAAATCTAAATAATTAAGTTTAAGATAGTTTTATTGCATTCTAAATGACTTTATGGTAATTTTAGATAGTCAAGTTTCTATTAATATTGCTGAATCTTAAATAAAAAATTAATTAAATTAAATAAATATAAGCTTTTAATGTTTTTTATTGAATAAATAATGTCTTCAGATTGCGGTTTTTTTTATTTGAAATTTTGTACTTCCAAATTTAAATGAGTAAGTACTTAAATTAGGTAGTAAATAAGCTCGTAAATAATGTATTAAATGAAATCTCATGAGATTATAATATTAATGAAGAATATTTTAAATTCAAATGAATAATTGGTGTAATGAATTTATAATTAATATCTAACTTGTTAACATAATTTAAATTATATAATAAAAATGTCAACATTTTATAAATATGGTTATTTAAATTTGTGTATTGAAAAAGAAAAATAAGAAAAAAAATTTGAACAAAGAACAAGATAAAAATTGGAAAATAAATATACTATTAAAGAACAATATACCGAAACTAAAAAGTTTTGAATATAAATTTAATATGAGAGATTATTTAATTTGGAAAAATACTAAAAAAAGTAATTATAAATATTTACATAAAAGAGAAGGAAAGTAATTTATTTGATTTCAAATGTCATTTTGATATTATATTTATCAAATTAAAATTTCTCCAAGTAATGCAATATAAGTAACATTCTATGCCAAAAATAAAAATAAAAGGCAAAAAGAAACCAAACCTAATAAAATAATTTGCAAATGAATAAAGTTAAACTAAGCTAAATAAATCTCTATTGAATAATATATGAACTACAATTAAATTCAATAACAACAAATAAATCATTCATTAATATAAATAAATTCATTAGAATATGCTCAAATTTGACCCATTCAAATTTAGAGTATTTAAAAAATAAAAATTATGTTTATTAACATCAATGAACTTAAATGAACATTAGGTAAACAAACATAAGCTTTTCATCAAATACATTAATTCATTTAATATATTTTAGAATATTCGCTATAGCAAAGAGGGATTACCGTGTTATGCCTTGTTCGGAATAAATTTCTTTATGCTTCTTAAAGCAGTTTTTTAGTACAAAATATTGACTTTGTTTGAAAAAATTTTCTTGCAATTTTATTTTTCATATCGTAATTATACTTTGTGTTGCTACTATGCTTTACTTCTTTCATAAAATGTTTGTGCTAGTAAGTTTTTTCCTATAACAACTTTTAAAAAAGATACCTTCTTTATAGCTGTTGTGGGCTAAAATATTCGCAGCGATAAAGTAAAAAAATCTTTCGTCTTAGCGTTGCTTGAGTATCTTGCTCACAAATAGGGAAAAAAAAAACACCAAAATTTTTACGTGGAAACTCATGAAAACAGGGAAAAACTATTGTCTTGCACAGTTTAAATGAATCAATTAGTGCTTACACTTGATTACAAATGAGGCCCTTCATTAGGGGAAAAGTCTTGGCTCGATGTAGCAAGCATATATCATATAAAGTGCATTACATAGTGGGAGTTGGAGGAATTAGTGTTAACATGTTAATTTGGTCGGTAGGACCATAATTGGTGGACGATGTAAGTTAGAAGGACCATAATTTGGCGAAGATAATCAGAAGGATCGTAGTCGGGCGACGGAGGTCAAAAAGTCATAGTCGGGTGACGGTGGCTAGAAAAATTGTAGCCAGTGAGTGACTGAGCTTGAAAAGGTCGTAGTCGGGTGACTATTGTTGGGAGGACTATAGTTCGTAGATGACAATGTCGAAAAGACAATAGTAAAGGTGACGGTGTTCGGAGGTCGATGGGTGATGGTTAGTGGAGGTGAGGAAATCCGACAATAGTTGGTAGTCGGTTTAAATCCAATGGAAGTTTGGCGATGGTCGTTGGCCGGGCTCAAATTCAGCATAAGTTGATGGCAGGGAGGAAGTGGGGTGGTAGCTGGAGGTCGGGCAGAAGTTTGGCGATAGCTGGTCGTCGAGCGGAAGTCCGACGACGATCGGTGGCCGCTTGGTGGTCGAGAAAGAGTCTAGAGGCAAGAGAACGCTGATTTCTCTTCCTTCCTTCGTCCCCTCTCAGTGGATAAATTATTACATGCGATGTTCGAACGCATTCCGAGGTCAATCTAGACACACCATGTCATCCAATGCACAATGCATTGAAAGATGTGGCAGGTCCTGATTGGCCTCTAGACGCATTCAAAACCGCACAGAATAATATCTCCACTCAATGAGGGGTCTATTTATAGTTTTTTGGGAGTGATATGATAAGCAACTAGGGAGAAAATTAAGAGCGCATTGGTTCGAATTGACGGCCGATATCGATTCCCTTTATCATAGATTGTTTATCAAGCATTTGACTGCCTTAATAAATGTCATAATTCGACAATCTTGTGTTCATTGAATTTGTCTCGTCAAGACACTCTATTCAACTAGAAGCCTGTCACATTTGGATATCAATTGATAATTTAATTTATAGTTTGAATCTTCTAAATATGTTTCAAGTCCTAGATTTGGGCCCATATGGGCTCAGATTGGGTCGAATTTGGAGTATTTTAGTTCGATTTTGAGATATTCAATTAGATTATAATTTTTTTTTTAAATTAGAGTTTAGATAATTCGGGATTTAACTTTGAAATTTTTGAATTCAAAATTAGTGCTTGATCATGATAATTTTTTTAATGATATATCAAGATAATTTTATAATCATCATCTTTATAAAATATGCCTACAAAAAAAAATTATAAAAAAACATTAAAATTTATACAAACAAAAAGATAAATTATCATCATAATTTAACATAATAAAAATCATTGCACAGTGTACCACTCATAGCTCCACCTGCCCTACCAGTGATGCCCTAATATTTAATTTTCATTTAATCAGCCATCTCCACCTATCAAGATCTATGCATAAAATAAAAAATAAATTACATTATTTGCCTTCTTCTTCTCCCCAAAAAAAATATAAAAATAAATTAAATTACAGCCAAAATTTCCAGTCCAAGTTCAGCTCCTTTGTTTTTTTAACTGGATTGATCTCTCTGCCGGCTGGAAGAAAAAAAATAAAAAATAATTCATGAAATTATTTAAAACCTGCAAAGGGCCATCAGCCATGGCTGAATCTGTAGCAGCGAAGTGGTTGGTGACAGAGACGCTGATGAGTAAATGAGTAGTAGTTCTTGTCGGTGGAAAAGTCTTCGTTAATCTGTTCTACTATTTACTGTGACAGATTCCTGCAAAGGATTAGCTGCTACAGTTTGACCTATATGGGTTTAGGGTTCTATTCTAGTATTCTATTAATTTTAGCATGAGAATATTAGGTGCATCATCGAACACCGTCTAAAGCTGAAATTAGCAAGGTTGTGAAAATCAGACCGGACAACGAACCGGAAGAGGGAGAGGTTCACGGTTTGAACGGTTCGACCGGTCGAACCGGGGTCGAACCGGATGACGTAATAAATAATAATATTATTAAAAATTAATAACATAAAAATCATATAATATAAGTATATGAGCATTTAATAATATTTATAAAATTTTAAAATATATAATAAAATTTTATACATATAAATATCCTTTAAGAACAATATATATATATATATATATAACTAGTATTTTCGAGCTACCAAATGATCTCGTTCACGAACAAATGATCTATGATTCATCTTATATTTGTTCATGAATATCTTAAACAAACAATCTAGCAAACGTTGACAAATATGAAATGTCTCTTGTTCATGAACAAATTTATTCTATTAAAGATATAAAATTAAATTAAATTAAATTTGTTATATTCTCCAAAAATTGTTTTGATCAAGCACGAATCTCGAGGCAAAACCAAATCGAAAACTTCAAAAATTAAATTCGGGAGCATCTGAACTCCGATTTCAGCGAGCTTATAGTCAAACTGAGCGTCTCGGAAATACAAACCCAACGACACCAAATTCAACTCGATTCGAGCCCAAATGAGCTCAAATCAAGCACCCAAAGAGCTATTAGAAATCTCATACTGCAATTTGAGTTATCAAACGGTCTCTGATTTTAACGAGCTTATAGTCAAATCGAAGGGCTCGACGAGAAGAATCCATCGTGCCCAAGATCACCAAATTCCGACATCGTTAAGACCTTCAAATGTCTAACGAACGGTGCCCTTGATCTCACACCTATTTACAAGCTATGCCTCTCCAGAAAATCTAACGAAATTTTCTTGGGATTCAATATCGACCGTCCATTCGACCACTCCCTATTTGCCCTTGATCTCACACCTATTTACAAGCTATGCCTCTCCAGAAAATCTATAAATAGACCCCTAATTTCTCATGAGAGGGGACCCAAGCAAGAAGAAGAGAAAGGGATGGAGAATCAGCTCCTTATCGACCACCGCCAGAGTTCTTTCCGCCGCCTAAATAACGCCGGAATTCTGCCGGATATTCAGGTGATGCCAGAACTCTGCAAAACTTTGTAACTGAATTTCAATTCAGAAGAAACTCATTGTAATATGATCGTCCTAACTTGTGGGACGAATAAGTCTTTTGTACCTCAAACTACACTACTGGAACTTTTCAACTGGGCATGGCCCCGTGGTTTTTTCCCTTTTTCGGGTTTTCCACGTAAAAATCCTTGTGTTCTTTTATCTCATGTTTGTGTGTGCTAGATATTCGTACAACGCTCAGATGAAAATTTTCTAACTCTACCGCCGCGTATATTCTAGCCCACAACAAAATTAAATTTATAATAAAAGCAATTGCCCATTTAAAATTAATGAAAATATGATTAATTTATGAATATATTTATAGAGCTTATTCACAAGTTCAAAATCAAACGTGAATCGAGCTTAATGTCGAGGTTGTTTACGAACTTAAAATGTTATTCATGAACATAAATGAACCGAACACATTAGTGTTCAAGTTTGCTTTTTTAAGGACCAAGTATTAAAAATGTTGGTCAAGTTTGTTTGTTTATTATGTTTAAATGACCACAAACAAGCTTTAATCGAACCTAGCAATGAGTAGCTCGTCAAACTTTAGGTTTGCTTGCAGCCCTAACGCCACATCACCCTTAACAGTACCGCGGCTCGGTACTGGATGACGTGACTGCACTTGATTGTCCTCTAGACGATACCTGATAGCAAATGGGTCGGGTTAGGGTTCGAATATCTGACATGATATGAATTTTGGGTCGTGTTCAGGTCAGCCCGACAACTAGTTATTGACCTGAATTCAACCAGCTTTATTCATTAATATTACTGATGCTTAAGGGTTAGCCGTGCATTTCGTCTTGTGGCTTTCGATTTTCGAGTTCGCCTTTTCTCTTCTCAATTTCGCTTTGTGTCGTTGCCTTAGTTTCTGTTTGCATATTCATGATTGAATGATTGTTGTAGGCTCAATTTTTTTAGAATTTAAGCTCTGATTGCATGCGATGAATTCAAGTCTCTTTCTCTCCCACGTAGTTAGGTATTTCCCCACAAGCTTCAGATTTTGCCAGCATATATCAATAATCAATAACTCTTTTGTATTAATTTTCTAATCTTTTTCTTCTAATTTTTGAGCTAATTTAGGCTTCCTTTGAGACGTTTTTTTGTACTGATTTTTAATGCAACTTTTAAGCATAAATTTTTTTTTGAAAGTAACCAAAAAAATAGTGGTAAAAAGCTAATTTAGTTTTGTTTGTGATAGTTTTCTTTCTGTTTTTTAAAATATTATCTATTATAAAATTTCTAATCCAAAAATTTTTTGTTATAAAAAACTACTTTACAAACCAGCAAGGAAGTTGTCCCAAATAAAACCTTAGTGTTTAGAAGGAGCTTTAAATATAAGACCGCTTGTAGATTTCTACACTACATTGAGATAATATATTTGCATTTGTACTAGTTGATAATTTGGAATCATAATGATTTAGATTCAATTATGCTCAATTAGCTTTTGATCAAGATTAATTTTAATTTAATTAGGTTTGTTGTGTACCAAAACTTTCAAGACAATAGCGAGATATAATGTTTAATGTTCTAACTTTGTACGAAGATCCAACACACATACATATTAAATAGAGGACTGCAAGAATTATCAGTGACAAGGTATTCTTACGTGGAAACTCCATGAAAGGCAAAAACCACCATATTCGTTTTTAATATTCAATAAAAGTAAAAATAATATTTATTTAAAATACCATACCTAATTTTATTTCATATTAAAATTTAAATAAAATATAATAAAAATAAAAATAAATTCTAAGTTACTTCTTATTTTTCATGTTGCTTCAATTTTAAGCATTGCAAGCAAACAAGCTCACAACAATGCAAAACCTATAAGAAAATTATTAGAAAGGGATGTAATGATTATTTTTATTTATTTTTTTCAATCATACACTCAATAATTTGTTTCCATAATTGCTCTAACAGTTGATCTTATCCAATTTCAATTCCTTCTTTACTTATGGAAGCCTCTATTTCACCAATAATTTGAGGACAAAGACAATGATTTGTTACTAATCTAAAAAACTATAGGAGGAATTTGATGGAATAGGGTTTAATCTAATTTGAAAAAGTCTAAACAAGTTGTGCATTGAGGTGGCGACTTCGTTGTTGGTGAAATTATTCTGTGCGGATACGAATGCTGTTCATAGACAAATAAGAACAAACCACATCACCTATTTGTTGTGTATCGTGGCGGGTGACAATGGCTCGTTCTGATTGGCATCCGGACGGTCCTGTGTCCGTACAGAATAATTTATCTCGCTGTTGTGAGGCCTTTCTTATTGGTGCGGGTCCCACGTTTGAGTGCATCCTAGAACCTAAAATTTGATGTTGAAGTACAAATTTAACCTAGCTCGAGTGGATAAGCAAAGAGGTCTAATATGAGTGTTTAAGAGGAGAGATCTCTATATATACATGACTTGATGGGAATGATTGAAAATATTTGCCTCTCATTATCTTTCACTTAGGAGCTATTTGAGATTCTCTCTACTTTTTATTTTATTTATATTTTTCTTATAAAATAAAATATGTTTAAGATTTAAAAAAGTTATTTTTGTTTATTTATTCGATGTTAATGATCATGGTAGATGAGGCGATGATGATGATGACAACGATGGTAATGACAATGGAGGAAGCCAAATTTGATATTTTAAAAAAAAGTCAAAAATAGTTTATTGTTATTTTGAGTGTTGTTAAAAATAACTTATTTTATTTGAAAAAAAAATAAAAGTATTTTTTATAATTAAAACTTTGAAACCTCCTACACTAAATATGTAATCTTACCAGAGCCCTACAAAAGATTCTGGTTGGGTACCCACGCTCTGCATGAGCGGGCTTTGCCCGCCCACATCCACCCATGGCGACTTTCGGGAGGCCGTACCCACCCATATCTACCCACTTTCCACGCTTTTCGAACGTAGTACACCACGGACTGATGACCTTGAGGCTTGTTGCCCTTTTTTTTAATGTAAACTTTCGAGCCCCATATCAACATTTGCCATGGTCGCAACACGATTCAGTGCTGAACATTGTCCAATGATGATTGTGACAATATACAACATGCGGTTATTAACAACGTAAATCTTTTTATCCCTCGATGTTGAGTACCCACCCATGAGGCCATGAGTGTTTCCATAACCACCATTACCCATTATATATGGGTGGGTGTGGGTATGGGTGCCCAGGCAAGGCTCTGAATTTTACCATTTCTTGATTCTGTTGATTTTTTTTTTAATGATTCAAATTAATAATTCAAGATACATAAAAACTTCATCTAATAATAATCAATCAAATCACCAACTTTATTACTTTATCTTTATTTTTTTCATGATAGAAACTTTTGCAAAATATTTTATAATTTGTTGTATATATATGTGCCCCATTAAAAAAAATTTTTCAGACAGCAAATTTTATAAATTTGATCTTATGAACAACTAAGCGACTATTTAATTAAGACAAATTCATACACCTGTCGCATACATAGGACTTATACTCAATGCCTCGTTAAATAAATTAATCGTTATGATATTAATACGGTGAATGAGAAAAAATATTATTTAATCAAATTATTTTTAAATTATATTATATAGTATTGAATTATATTATGTCCCTAATTAATAAATAATTATTTGATTAAGTTTATTGAGATTGAAATAAAAGTATTATTGAAAGAGTAATAATTACTATAATTATGATAAACTAAATGAATTATTACAAACAATTCTATTATTGCAATAAAATGTTAAAATTTATATCAATGTGAATTGAAAATTTTAAAAATAACCAAATGTTAACATAAGTATTTTTAATAAAATTTTAAAATATTATTTTTTTATAACTAATTAAATTATAAAAAATTAATTTATTAAATAATCTTATATTAAATTAAAATTATAGCACCTTTACCAATTATGAGAGATATCAAAACTATATACTAAAAATTACTTTTCAAATAAATTTTATTTACAATATTATCCCCAACATCAAATTTTTAATTAAGAAATTTTCATATTTTTCTTACTTGAAATAGCAGAAACAAAGCAGCAGCAGAAAATCGGTTCAAATTTGTTATAAAGAACGACTCTTTTACTCATTTTGCAATATGATACTTAATCGTTTGTGTAATTAAAGACTTAATTAAGCCCTTTTCTGCAATTTACCCTTTCCATCTCCGCCAATATTGTTCGAGTTAAAATTAATTCAAAAAAAAAAATCTCCACTCACTGGGCCGGCATCGACTCCGGCCGCCAGTAGAAATCAGAAGAGTTAAAAATCCCGCCGTCGGCGGCTGATGGGGCCACATCGTCATCCGCCGGACCAAAAGCCTCCGCCGGAACACCGAGTTCCATCAAGTCTTCATAACAAACCGCCATTTCCTCCTCTTCAAACCCCCAGATCTGACCAAACCCCTCCGCCGGCTCAACTTCCTCCTCCGTCCACAGCTCCGCAGCTGGTGGCGGCGGCAGACCTAGATCGTCGTCCGACGCCTCAAGCAAGTACTCGATTTCTACCTGGCTGGCTTCACCGTTCTCCTCCGGCGGCAAGGCGATCTCCTCTTCGAGGCTTTTCATCACAGTCGCCAAATCCAAGCTCGCCGCTTCCCGATTTTCCACATCGACATCGTCTTCTTCGAGAATACCATAGATCAGATCAGCATGAAGACGCTTTGCCTCAGGCGACTCTTCCGGCGAGGTTTCCCGGCTTCTCTTGTTCCCAACGCAGCTTTCCATTGTAGAATAAAGACTACAGAGCACCATTTCTAGAGAGAGAGAGAGAGTGCAGCGAGGGTGTTTTGGGCAAGATGAGTTAGGATTGCGTTGATGCTTATATAGGAGAGGGGCCGACTTTAGGGTTTGGATTTTTTTTTTGTAAATTTTATTTTAATAATTAAAAATAAAGAATACGAGATTTGTATATATAAATTTATAAAATCTCAAAATAATTCTCACAGTATTCATATATGATTATAAATCCAGAATATTATTTTGCTCAAATTTAATCTCTCTATTATATCAAATTGGTGGAGAATAATCTCTCATGTTATAATTGTAATATAAAATTAATCTCATTTAGTTTTAAAGAGAATATTCTAAATCAATTTTGTATAATTGAGAGATTTTTTGGGGGAGAATTGAGGGATAGAAATCAGACCACTCTCGCATGCATCTAGGTGTGTCAATATATGACATGACCTAAAAATCAGATTTGAAAATTTCAGGTTCAGATTAACTCGAATCTAAATCGGGTTGGGTTTGAGTTAGGGATTTTGATCCGATTGTAAAACTGGGTCGAGTTCTGGTTGACCCGAAAAGCCGAAATTAACCAGGTTTGACCCTGATAGACTTTTTCCCGCTTAGTCACTTCATTCGTCGCATCATCTAGCTCAGTCGTGTCTGCTCAGACTCGTCCACCATCTGACAATGACGTGGGGCCAGGGCCGCCTCGCGTCAAGCGGCTCAAGCCTCCGATGGTGATCGTTGGTCCGCTTCCCTCACACGCCTGCTTCCCTGAGAGTCGTCACACGATCACTGCCTCGTCGTTGAGTCAAGCCTTCGATAATTCAGCTAGAGATCGGAACTCGAAAGAAATAACAACGACATGAGGAGTGTTTTGGGTTCTTGTTAAAAAAAAAACTGACACAATTGCAAAAACAGGTCGAGTTCGGGTTGTGTCGAATAGTGTCGGGTCAATTTCTTGTTCAATCCGAACCCTACTTGTGATCTAACTTTGACAGCCCCACTCAAATAACTTATTTATAACTCAGAATCCAAGACACATGTGTTATTAGACTTGTAGCCAAAGTACCCAACTAATGGACCAAGGAGAGTTGCGAACTTGAAAAATTAAGATTCCATTTGGGATGTCTTTATTATTAGTTCCTCTTAAAATAAATTTTTAATACAAAATTTTAATTTTTATACTACAAAACTGATTTAAGAATCAATAAAAAATATGTTCCAAACCAAGCATTTATGCCTTAAGAAACAATAAAAAGTCCCTCTCAAACTAAACCCAAGGCTTTATGTGGGACGATTTTTTCGAGTTTTTTTTTTTTTTTTTTTTTAAAAAAATTATTTATATATTTAAAATTATTTTAGAAACTATAAAAAAAAAGTCAAATGAAACGGAGCATAAATGAGATTATTTTATAATTTAGCATATAAATAAATAAATAAAAGAAAAGGCAGAGGTGGGGAGATCGAGATTCTGCGGGCATTGCGGACGCCGCTCCAATTGTATGCATTATTGAAAACGTTTAAGTCCCGGATTGCGAGGGATTTGGCGTCCGGTCCGACGGCGTCAGGCTCGGCTGGGATTCCAACGGCGACAAGCTTTCGCGAGTCGCGGCACGCTCCGATTCGTAGTGATTTTTTTTTTGTAACTGGAAACAAATCAGCTCAGAATATTTAATAAATTTTTCTCGCATTACCGTTAAAAATTTTAAGAAATGAAATAAATTTTATTTAAATTAAAGAAATTTAAAATAGAATTAAAATTTTTAAATTTATTCTGTTTAATTTTTAGTCTTAACATATTGACATAATTTTTTCTTGAAATTTTAGTTAATAATTTATATATTTTTATTAATTGTAAAATAACTTGTTAATTTATAAACTGTTTTGGAGTATGTAAAATGAATACTCTTTTTTCATTGTATTCTATTATTTGTAAAATTGTGATCTCTAATGAAAAAATATTATTTTTAATAATTTCTAGTCAATTCGTATTTAGATATATTTCTATATTTTTTAGACCATCTTCAAGCGAAAAACTCATTTTATACTCCAAAATACAGTAATACTGTAAAATATATTAATAAAAAAAGTAAATACCAAGCATATTCGTCTCCGTTCGAGAAAAAAATGGCATTTCTGAGCCGTGAGATGTCGATATTAGTGTCACACTATTCACCTCGGGCAAAATACCGTTAAATATGCCTCTCGGTTGGAGCTGCATCGTTCGCAATCGCTTATTTGATGTTCGGTTAAAAATGCCCTTAACATTGACTAATCTTACACACCTACTCTACTAGACGAGTCATTGGAAGGCTGACGTTTTATGTGACCAAATCAGCTAAAGGCTCATTCTAATCTTATCTGCCACCTAAAACACTCTTAACATTTTCATGTATATATTTATTTTCCGGTTTGTTCCTAAGTGTAAAGCCGCTACCACTAATATATATGAGGATTCTCATCTATGCAACACTTAAATTTTATGCTTCTCTTTTAAATAACCAACAAAATAATTAAAATTTAATTAGATTACTAAAAAAATCGGGTTTAGAGTGCGAGTAATTTATTTAATATTTTATTTCGAGGGAAAAAATAAAGTCTTTGGATTAATTATTTTGTACGGACGCCGAATGCCGTTTAGAGATCAATCAAAATGTGCCACGTCACCCATGTGCTCGGCTCCATGGCTACAAATCGAGGACGTGACGCATTCTGATTCGTCTCCAGACAGCATTCTATATTAGTCTCTGCACATAAACAATTATTACGTCCTCTGACCGGACGTAGAGCTACGTTCGGCCGCCAATAACATGTCGCCACGTGCTCTTACTCTTTACCGCGCGGCCCGACGACTTGAACCGGAGCGGAACCCGGGAATGCTATGTTCGCGATTTCTCTGTATTGCTTAGTATTGCTTTGCAAAAATGAAAAATACCGCTCTGTGAAGACCAATACCATGCAAATACCGAGTTGTACCGAGTTTTTTTACAACTCGGTACAACTCGGTACAACTCAATATTTGCTCAGGATTTGCTCAGTATTGCTAGGGATTTGCTCGATATTGCTAGGTATTTGCTCGGTATTGCTAGAAAAAACTCGGTATTTGATCGGTATTGCTAGGTATTTGCTCGGTATTGGTTATTGCCGAGCAAAATCGACCAATACCTAGCAATACCGAGCAATCTTGGGTCCGTTCCGGGTCGGGTTGTCGGGGCGCGCGGTAAATAATAAAACACGTGGCGCGATTCTAGTAGCGGCCGAACGTAGAGTTGCGTACGTTCACCGGACCAAATAAAAATTCCTGCACAGAATAATTTCTCAAGCCTTTGTGCTTCATAATTCTACGTGGAGTGTAATAGCGGTGTAAGCTAATAGAGCTACATACTATGGATGCAACAGATTCGATTTTTAATTTAATTAGTTAAATAGATTTTAGGTTAAAGTTTGAGCCAACTCATCACCGATTTAATTGTTATAAAAAACAAAATATATTTTAATTTCTGGAGTTGTAATAATATAATCATAAGAAAACTCAAATAATGCATGGTGTATAGATTTCATTGCATATTATGGATTATTACATTTCATATATGATATTGTATTTCATAGAGAAAATGATACAACTCATATATGTATTTCATATATGATACAACTCAAAATATACAGATTCAATTTTTAATTCTTCTATTTTAGATCTTGAAGCATGACTAAACCTAGGGGTGTCAATTTCGGGTCACGGGTCGGATTCGGGTCAAACCCGAACTGACCCGGGTGCGAAACGGGTCGACCCTAACCCGAACCGGGTAGAGAAACGGGTCGAAAAACCGAACCCGGACCCGACCCGGCGGGTTGCCGGGTTGACACGACACGACCCGGTTTGGGTGGCCGGCGGCGGACGCAAGCGCGGCGGGCGGACGCGAGCGGGACAGCGCATGCGCGG